CCAACTGGGGGGGATTACAGTTTCTTAAATGCCTTATTAATGGCCTAACTCACCTCATTAATATTCAGCTTCCTATTTTACCAAACATGCTGAACAAGCAACACGTCAATAAACGCAACATGAAAGTCAGAGCGAGCACCTGGTGGATTCTGCTTACTGCCTGCTCCGAGCCATCTCCATGTTGGACACTGGGCACCAACATCACAGGGCACGCTGCATGGGGCACACACACCCCACAGGCACTGAAATCCGACATGTACCACCCTCCAAGTACCCACACGGCACATTTCCGATCCACTTACAGGACACTTCTGTCCTTCAGTGCTGCCCCTCAGGCTGCCCTGGGAACTCTCATTGTAATGCTGCAGCAAGGGACACTGTGTGCTCAGGGACACAGCCCCAGCTCATGGCCTGCACCAGGCTGGATCTCCGGCCTGTTCACTCGCTCTCTCAGCGCTCCCTCACTCTGAGCCCACCTGGATACTCACAGCATCCCTGCCTTGCCTTGTCCCTCAGCCAGAGATACCAGGCTCACTGGACTGCTGCCTTTCCTTGCCATTTAGTGCAGACACAAAGGCAGGAAGCTTGTCCTGGCTGTCACCAGGTCTCAGTCACATCAAGGGAGACAGCCTTCGCTCAGGGGTGGGGGGAGGGGGCTCCCGGCAGCAAGTCAGGGGCAGCCTCCAATCCCAGTCCAGGAGTTTGGACACGGTCAGTCAGCCACTCAGGACGGTCAGAGTCAGGGCCCTCCCTTCGTAAGGGCTGAGGAGCTGAATGTCAGGCAGCCCACCACCCATCTTCAGCCTTTCTGCCCTGTTGGGGGCTGTTTTCCTCCTGGAGTGAGAGAGGGGCAGGGATTACGGGAGAGTGTTACAGCAGTTACTGTTGGTACAGGTGCCCTCAGTGAGTGAGTGGGCAGCACAGAGGGCATGGAAGGCTAGCAATTTCGGGGATTAGGGTGGGTGACAGTGAGTGAGGCAAGATGTTGCAGCAATAGTGAGAGTGGCAGAGCATGAGGCTGGGTGGGAGGTGGGTACAGGAGCAGAGAGAGACCGAGTATGAGGTATCAGAGAGAAGATGGTTGTACTTACGCTGGCGGAGTGGGGAAGGTCATTGAGCTTCTTCCTACAGCGCTGGGCATTCCTCCAGATGCAGAGACTGCACTGACCCGGGTGGTAACCTCAGACCAGGTTGGCATGGCCTGGTGTCATCGTCTCCGCTACTGGACCAGGGAAAGAGGACGTCCTGAGTCTGCAGCACCCCCTCCAGCGGGACCTCTAGGTCCCTGTCTACAAAGCCCCTGTCTGCCAGGTCTGGGGCAAATCATGAACTGTGCAGGGCATCTCCAGACTGACAGTGCTTGTCTGGGTGCACAACAGGCTTTTCTAAGATGGCGCTGGTGCAAGGGATGCTGGTCTTTGGGCAGATATTCGCTGAGTGGCAAGTTCATCCAGAAACCACACACGGTGAGCTGTGGCTAGAATTGGACAAGTCAGAGGGGTAGTGTTGGTAGTTAATGAGACACAGTTGGTAAGATATAGTGAGAGATTTCTCTGTGCATTGTGGTGCGAATCCCTTGTTAAAAAACACTCACACTTACCCATAAAATGTCAGATTCAGCCCTTGCGTTTTATTCCATTGCAATCAACAATAAGACCTATCCTGTGCTTCTAGTTCTTTGTATAAAAATTCTCAAGTCAAGGTGTTACAGGACTTCTCTGCTGACCTCCCACCCAGGATTGCAGACATTTCCTCAAGGCCAGGCACTGATGTATCAGAGGACGGCTGAGGATGAGACAGAGATCAGTATTGCTGTGCCATAGTGTGAACATGAATGCGAGCCTGCAAACAATTCACTTGCCTCGCAACACAAGACAATGCAAACTGTCCCCAGTGGACTGAGTTCTACCACCTTGTCGGGCAACATCTTTGGCCCTTCGCTAAACACAATGTCATCTTCAGTGCTGACCACTAGCATAGAGGTGGTGAGCATAGTTTTGAGAGTGCTAGAATGACACAGCACAAGAAGGAGGCAGTGCATTCCAGATCACAGCTCACCTGGTAACAATCGACATCCCTCATCTCTTTCAGGAATGTTCCCACTGAAGGTACCACACTCAAAGCCTATTAAAGGCAGCTTTCAAGCTGAAACAAGCTGAAGTCTACGCTAAGGAAGAACTGGGAGCTCTGTTAGCACACAGAAAGGTTTCCACTCACGCAGATCAGTGGCTGCCATTCAGGATGGTGTCTTTTGGTAGCAGGCGCACAGAAACACAGGGGCAGTCGTTGGCTGGCTGTTAAATCACTGCCAGTCCGTTAGCAGTGCCAGTCTTCAGGCAGCTGGCGGAAGGAGAACCCAAAGGCACGCTGGCACAAGGGAGGCACCGTCTGGGGCAGCCACGCAATGTTAGGCGAACAAGTGAGCAACCGAAGGAACCGGCACTGAGAAATCCTCCATTCTGCTTTGCTCACTGGGACCCAGGTTAGCAGCAAGAACAGCCTGGCCCTCTACAATGCGTATGCTCTTAAAGATAAGCAGGAGGCAGAATGGAACACAGACATGCTGGTCGGATGAGAGAGCAGGGCGAGAGGGAATCCCAAATGGAATCTCAACACTGGCGCAGAGCAATTGAGCCGATTGGCTAATTGTGTGGTATATTCTACGGACCACGATGTATAGCATATGGCATTGAACGTACTCTTGTATGAATAATGCTCAACACTCTCGAGATTAAAATCATCGTTCATTTATTTTTAAAAATTTCCCCGTCAAAGTGAGAATTTTGAAAAAAATGACGTGAGAATTGCCAGTAAACCTGAATTCGATTGTGGTTACAAATGCAGTCTTTCCCTGGGCAGAATGGGCCATGTGTTGAGGGGGATTTCAAAGCAAGACATTCACGCACATCTGTTTTACCTGTGGGAGGGGGTGTTACTGGCTGCAATAAAGTAGCGCCTTTTTGTTAGCCTCATCCACTTCAGTGGGCCCGAGTGGTATCCCCTTCAGTGAGTTGGCCTCATCGAATGGTGAATCCCATGCTGCTTACAACACAACGCAATCATTCCACTCCCAGTCGGACTAAAAGGCACAGTCGGGTTGGGGTAAACCCAGGAATATTGCTTCAACAGGTCAAAGGTATCATTGGTTGCTGCAGCACAGAAAGAGGTTGTTTGGCCCATCAAGTATGTGGCGGCTGTTTGAAAGAGCTATCCAATACATTCCAGTACCTTGCTTTTCCCCCTACTGCCTGGCAATTCCTTCCCCCTTCACATATCTGTACAATTCCCCTTTTGCAAGGTACCTTTGAATCTGCTTCCACCATCCTTTCAGGCAATGCATCACAGAACACAACAACTCGCTGCAAAATTCCTCCCCTGAGCTTCACGTCACCCTCTGGTTCATTTGTCAGTTTGCATCAAATGAAAGGCTTGCCAAATCGGGCTCGTGGTATCCCGTCTTGCCTAAGGCGTCTGGTACAGTCGGGCAGAGCTCGTGAGCATTCAGATGGCATCATGCCAACTGCTCCCTCCTCCAGTGATGGCACCACAAGAAGGGCATGCTTCATTCACTCATCCTTTCCTGCGGAATTTGCACCAGGGGCAGAAAATCCCTTCCCCTGCTCCCAGCCCGGCTATCCTGATAACGCTGACTTCATGTGACCTACAATGTTCAGTGCCATCACCAGCTGAGGTGTGTAGACTTGAGATCCTTTCTGTCAATGTTGCTGGAAGGCGCCGTTGAAAATGAGACAGCTGCAATATCTCAGCCCTTGTCACTGCAAAGGGACTCAAAAGGCCTCCATCCATTTATGAAGTCTCTGCTGTTGTGACCTGCCAAAACATTGTCCATTGTACGAACTGGGGAGATTCAATCCATTGGCATCATCATTAGCAGTAACTAATATGCCACTGCCTGTGTTCAGTGTCTGATGTTTTAGTGCAAGCAAGCAAGGAATTAACAAAGCAAATGATACTTTCTCTGCAGTATCTTTATGGTAAAGAATTTTCTCTGGAGGGTGATTGACTTAATTTTTGGGGCAGACTCGAGGAAAGAATTCTGAGACAGCAGAATATTAAAAAAAACATATGGAAGAGTTTGATGCTAATTCGTCGAATGCATGCTGAAAATTAGGTAGAGATGGATTTTATTTCAGTCTTGCTGTCTCTTTCACTCTCTTGGTGTCTCTCCCACACTGTCTGCCTCTTTATACCCCACTTCCTGCCCCTCAGCCTTGATCTCTCCTCCTCCCTCCTCACCTTCCCCTCTGCTTCGATCTCTCCTCCTCCCCCTCTCTGCCTCGATCTCTCCTCCTCCCTCCTCACCTTCCCCTCTGCCTCGATCTCTCCTCCTCCCTCCTCGCCTTCCCCTCTGCCTCGATCT